GGCCTCAATAATTAGATTAAAAATCAATTACATTTCTGCCAAAGTGTTTGTTTGCTGGAGAAAATGCTCCCAGGAAATACACTTAAACTTGGGGATAGCAAAGCAGCCACTGCCCTCCATAAAGTTCCTTTATATATTTTTCCACAATATGCACAAAACCAGAATATGAAATCAGAAACATTTTACACATTCTCATACTTCAGAGAGCACTAACAGCATTTTACTCGTCGAAAGCACTTTATCTTCATGTCTCTATAAGGCAGAGTTGGTGCATAATAATGTAATTTATATTGCCTAAATGTTATTTTGGGAGCATTGCATCATTTCTCAAACTTCATGACCTTTACAATTTTCTAAACTTTTATTTCCCTCATTATTCTGAACAGATTTCATTACATATTTTGAATGTAAACAACCCTGAATAATGATGGGCCCCATTACGTATGTACAGCTCTGACAATCGCGCGCGGGGCCGAGATGGAAACCCAGTGCATTAATTTACCTCTCATCCGCCGTAACTGCACTCCCATAAAAAGTTTTATACTCAACTCACATAAATCACGGGGAAGAAAAATGAGAAAATCTGGTGGCTAACTCATCTTCCACCATTCTGCGAAAATGAAATTCACTGAAATACCTATCAAAACTGCAATCATCAAGAGATAATGTCTTCTTAGGTCTATCTGCACTTTCCGATTTAATTTCCTCCATGCCCTTGACATCCACAGATACCATTAAGATTAAGAGCAGCGAGTAACTGAGCAGTTCTCAGATTTTGATATATGGGGCCCAGGCACTAAATGTAATATCATCATTTGAAAATTAATGCAATATTTCTTTTGTTAGTTTTTCCACTCGGAAAGCGGGATGAATACTCGGGGTTCTCGCCAGTAATTTCCCCATCAGAATGCCGTGCAATTATGAGGAGATGTGCACCTGGGCAGAGGTCACCCAAATTACTCCATCATTTAATGAGCACCGAGATCAAACCCGAGCACACTGTTGCTGCCGAGAGACGCCTCGCAGCCTGCTACATCAAATCTGATGGAATCATTAGAGTAATAAGCAGGAAAATCTGTTTGCAGATTAACCTCTGGTTTCATGCTGCTTTCATCTAATGGGGCGCTGTGGAAATCTTGTCAGCTTTTCATCAGCCACGATCAAATTACGGGAATTGCGAACAAACCGCCGGCGCGATTGGAAACAACACCCGCACGTGCCGGGGGTTTTATGCAGATGCCAGGGAAAATCACACTCTTTATATTTTACAGCGTTATTTACTTCAGCTGATCACTGCTCTCCTCCGCCTGCCGAGCGGGAACCGGGCACGCTCCCGCCGGCCGGTCCGAATTTACGGCGGAGAAAGAATTTATGGGGTAAATATGAGAGGGGTGACAAAGGGAAAGCAAAATCAAGGCACAAAGGTCACAGGGATGGAAGGTCACAGGGTCCCCACCACAGCCGAGGGTGGGGGAGGCACCTCAGCCTTGGTGGTAAATGAGAATGATCAAAGTTTACTTTTTAATAAAGGCACGGAGCCATTAAAGTGTTGTTTTATGTGGATCGGCCCTGGTTTCGGAGCCTGCTGGTAATGGGTAAAACTCGCTTCTCTTACAAAGTTTCCACAAAATTTGTCACCGTTGGAACAAACTGCTGCAAGCCTTTGAATATTCTGCCTGAAAACGCTCTGCCTCTCACGGTTGGATCCACATCTGCAAGCAGCAGCAGCAAAACCTTGGAACAAATAAAAGTGTGTGTGCACACAAACTCAGCACACGCTCTCTGCAGTGAGATCTCCTCAAATCCACGGAGCCCCTCTGCAGGAGCAGCCTGGAGTTCACCCCCCATGGCAGACGGAGCCAGAAGCTGCTTTTCCCATGGATATTCATAAGCCATTGATCTTCTGCAGTGTGATTACCTGGGGTGAACCTGATCCAGAGCTCTTGAAGGAGATGGAAAGATTTCCAAGGGCCAGGCTGCTGCTGAGCCAGGGGAATGTTTGGGATGCTGACCCTGGCACAGCCAAAGGGTCCATCAGCCACTGACACCTGATGGCTTGGGGACACTGGGGGACACAGCCAGAGCCAGCACTGCTCCTCGAAAAGCACCTTCCAAGCTGGTGCATCCAGCTGGACACTCAGTGGCTCTCCAGCCTGTCCAAAGGGAAATTTGGAATGTCCTTGGACACAAATGTCACTTTGGCCATAGGAGGAACACCTCTCCACCCCCACCTTCACTCCTTTACTCCCAGAATGGAACAGACAGACACAATTCAAGAGAGACAGAAGAGACAATTCAAGCCTGCAGAGCATAATTGACCGGCATGGAATTTTGCCAGGACAGCAAGATAAACATAATTACTCATATTAAGAGCGTTAATTAATTGTTTGTGAACACAAATAATTGGCTGCTGGGTTTACAGCTCGTTAGGAAGCCAAGGACTCTGCCAGACGTCGCTGTCTGGTGGCCACCCGAGGGCCACGGAGCTGTGACACCACAGGTGAGAAACTCAGAAAGCCACGAGCAGTGAGGGGCCAAAATCCCTGGAAAAGCCAGTGCCAGCCAGGAAATAACTACTGACATTTAATGAAAATAAATACTTGACCAAATATTAACAGTGAATAAAGGAGAAGGGGTCTTGGTTGGGATTTGAGGGTTTTTTTGGTTGACTACATCAAAGAAATACGTGAACCTTGAAGTCCCTTCAGTGCCACCCCTGCCATGGCAGGGACACCTCCCACTGTCCCAGGTGCTCCCAATGTCCAGCCTGGCCTTGGGCACTGCCAGGGATCCAGGGGCAGCCACCACCTGTGCCAGGGCTGCCCACCCTCCCAGCCAGGAATTCCTTCCCAGTATTCCATCTAATTCAGTTTGAAGCCATTCCTTGTGTCCTGTCAGTCCAGTCTATTGTAAATCCCACATTGTAAAACACTCTTTTTTTACAGAAGGGATTCAATAACAGATTATCAAATCAAGATAAAGACTCTTAAGGTGGGAAAAACCTCCTTACAAGCATTTGGAAATACAGGAATTAAAGTGGTAGAGCTGGAATTATGTGGCTTAAATCTTTGGAGGAATATCCCTATAATTAAATGGAGTCCAGAAAGTCTTTATGAACAAAATGTTAACGTATAGAACAGTTTCCAGCACAAATATTCCTACCTGTGGGTGCCTTGGGAAACAGCTTGTTTCCTTGAGCACCCATTCCCAGGACAGATTTTCTAATATCAAAGGGAAAACAGAACAAAAGTCTCAAATCCAGATTTTTTTTTTTTACAGATCTTTCAGGGAAATGTTCCCTGTCCATGGTAGGAGGTGGAATGAGATCTCCAAGATCCCTTCCAAAAGATCTTTAAGGTCCCTTCCTGCCCAGTTCTGGGATTCTAAATACAAAGCAGCCAATTAATTTAACAAAGACAATTTCATTCCAAATTATGGTAAGTTTACCCATAAAACACTTCAAACATCCTCATTCCACAGGGAATATTTCCAGTACCGTTTGCTCACAGAGAAACCCTGAACACCACGGAACTCTTTTCCTGCTTCCCTCCTCCCCAGGCTACTCCAAGCCCTCTTCCCACCAGGATCTCCATCCTTTCCACCCAACCAGGACGTCCATCCTTTCTATCCCACCAGGATCTCCATCCCACCGGGACCTCCACCTTTTCATCTCACCATGATGTTCATCCTCTCCACACCACCAGGACCTCCATCCCACCAGGATCTCCATCCTTTCCACCCCACCAGGACCTCCAGCCTCTCCACCCCACCAGGACCTCCAGCCTCTCCACCCCACCAGGACCTCCAGCCTCTCCACCCCACCAGGACCTCCACTCTCTCCATCCCACCAGGACCTCCATCCTTTCTATCCCACCAGGACTTCCATCTTTTCATCTCACCACGATGTTCATCCTCTCCACCCCACCAGGACCTCCATCCTCTCCACCCCACCAGGACCTCCATCCCACCAGGATCTCCATCCTTTCCACCCCACCAGGACTTCCACCTTTTCATCTCACCATGATGTTCATCCTTTCCACCCCACCAGGACCTCCATCCTCTCCACCCCTCTGGCACTCCAAGGAGATATCAGTGCCTGAGCTCCTCCAAATCCTCCCCAAGTGATTCCCAGAAAGGGAAGCAAGAAGAGGAAAGCAATCCTGTCCACATGATGTTTTTCACAGCACTATGGCAGAGCAGGGATTATTTAGATAGTCCATGAAAAAATTAAACCCTTCTCAGGATGGATGTGCCATTAATAGGGAATATTTTAATTTAATGGGATTTAATAATCACTTTACATCAACTATTTAATGTTCCACTGACTGCTGGTACCAACATGTGAGGCTCAACCAGCTTCTGACTTGTGACAAGATTTTATTTTCCCCAGTTTTGATCAACTGATGAGTTTTTAATGCTAAGCCTGGCTTGCCATCACTTGTGGGTTTAATATGTTTACTTAAACCAGAAATATTTTGCACCTCAATTATTATTTCCTACTGCAGCCCTGAATGGAATTTAAGTCAATCCATTATTCATAAAGCAAAGACAAGAGAAAACACAAAGCTGTGCACTTCTTTCAAAGCCTCCAAATGACTCAAACACACCATATTTATGCATGCAATAGTTGATTGTGTCCCTGGCTCTTTTTTTTTTATACTTTTTTTTTAATCACAAGTTTGTTGTTTTCAGATCAGGATATGCCAAAAATCCAACACCAAACAATTTTTGTTTATAATTAAGGCAATCATCAATCCAAGGATTGTAGTCCAGTTTATTTCATCTCGACATCAAAAAAAAGTAATTTAAAAAAATTAAAATTCCCTTGAAATGGGGAGATAAATGAAAATGTGAGTGCCTTCACATAATAACAGTAGCCTGACCCTCTGGGAAATGGTTGACTTTCTCAATTCAAGGTATTCAAAGCTCATTCAAAAGTGTTCATTTGGAATGCAGATATCAAAGATGATGCAAATGTTCAAGAGAAAATTAAAACTTACCAGATGTTCTAATCCAGCTTTGATGTTTGCAGAGTCCCTGTAAGAGAAGAACAAAAGTTCTAAATAGTTGCTAAACCCTTGTCTGCAACGATTTCTGTTTAACTCTGAAATGGCAAAGCTGGGTAATTTCGCCAGTGTTTCAAATTTTTAATTCTCATACATATATGAGACATATATGTAACACCTAAAAAATATTGATTATCCTAATGCTCAATGGCAGAATTCAACCCTCAGATAGTACCTGCCCTGAAACTGAGAGAATTGTGATTAATTCCATGGCTCGTGGCACCCATGCTGGAGCTTCCATCCAGTCCCTGAAAGCTGCAAAAAGTACAAAATGTACAGAGAGAAAATGGAAAGAATTTTACATAAAGGCAGCTGCAAAAAAAAAAAAAAAAACACGACAACGGACCAAAGTAGCCAAGTAAAAACTCTGAAAGACAAAAATTCAGAGGAAAGTTTATCCTTAACATATCCTGCTATGGGGAAAAAAAGATGAAATCCAATGGAAAACAAATTAAAAAGTCCCCAAATCCCAACCCACTGGACAAAGAGATTGTTCCTGCTCCCATAAGCTCCAGGTTCTACCTAATTCCAACACCACCTCTGGGAAGGTGGATCACTCCCACAGCAAACAAGGAGAAACCAGCCCGTGAGGACTGCAGGAACCAGTTAACACTACAGTATTAGTAATTACTAGTACTCAAATTGCTAATTATTTATCATTTCCTAAAGCTTTTCCAAAAATCTGCTATGCCTTTTTTGTTTTTCAATTTAAATGCCATTAATGAAGTGAGAGGGGGAAAAAAAAAAAAAGTACTTTTGCTGTTTGACTTTGAAAGAAGTATTTCTTTTTCTCAGCCTTACAGGATTTATCCAAATTTTGGAGATCCCAAGGTGGAGGAGCTCAGAGGAGAGCTCAGAGCCCTTCCAGAGCCCAGAGGAGCTCCAGGAGAGCTGCAGAGGGACTGGGGACAAGGGATGGACACAGGACACAGGGAATGGCTCCCAGTGCCAGCGGGCAGGGATGGATGGGAGATTGGCAATTGGGAATTCCTGGCTGGGATGGGATTCCCAGAGCAGCTGCAGAGGGCAGGGATGGGTGGGATAATGGGAATTCCTGGCTGGGATGGAATTCCCAGAGCAGCTGGGGCTGCCCCTGAGTCCCTGGCAGTGCCCAAGGCCAGGTTGGACACTGGGGTTGGAGCTGATGGGACAGTGGGAGGTGTCCCTGCCATGCAGGGGTGGGATGGATGGGATTGTCTCTCCCTTCCCACCCAGAGCATTCCATGATCCCATAATCCCTTCTGGAGGTCCCACCTGGCCCCAAAGGCTGAGCTGCTCTGGGAGGGGGATGCAGGGAGGGCTGGAGGAGCTCCCAGCCAGCCCCATCCCTGCCATCAATATCCCTGCACCTCCCTCAGCCTGTGCTGAAAGCAGCCCTAATTCAATTCCAGGCCTCAAAACTGATAAAAAAGGTCCTGAAGTGGAAAATGTGAGGAGATTATTGGCAAATGAATAAAGATTTGTATCGAACCAACACACGGGAGCAGAGCAGGGCTTGGTGGGGCTGTTTTTTAATCATGCCCTGTCTCAAACCTTCTGGGAACAGCGAGTTTCCCTTCCCCTCCTGCAGCACATCGATTCCTGAATTAGGCTGCAATATTAAATAATTAATATACTTGCCATGATTGATGTTTTGCATTAGTTGAATATTAGGTTATCAATCAAAATCCACTTGGTTTAATGTAATAATATTGAAAAAGTGTCACGGGCTGTTCAGCCAATTTGTAGTTGAGGCAGCCCAGACAGGAATATTGGTGTAACACAAGGCCCTAACGCAGGAAATGCACTGCTGGAACATCCATAAGGAAAACATTATCAAACTAACCAGGACAAGGCTGAGCTTGTCCTAAATAAACCTTGGGGCACCTGTCACTTCCAATGAAAACCTCTTCCCAGCCTGAGGCTGCTGGGCATCAATCAGCCAGGCTATGGCAGGGTTTTATCTTTTAGTTAGCCAATAGATTATATTAGTGATCTTATACAATTATATTCTGCATCCTATTCTATATCACATTACATATACTATAAATTATATTACATAATTACCCTTATATTTATATAATTATATCTAATAATTATATATTTAAATATATATAAATAAATTACACTATAAATTACTATTTAAAATTACATTAATAAAATGGCATATAAATTACATTATAAAATTTGTTGTATTGGCAACAATACAATAATTATGTGAAATAATTACATATTGAAATTATATTATTTGTATCAAAAATTATAAAGTAAGGCTCCAATTAATACTATATTTCATATGTTATTTTAGGCAAAATCAGACCTATGGCCACAGCTCAGTCTCCCACTTAGCCTTGAGTGCCTGCAGGATTTTAAACCATTAAACACCACAAATAAAAGCCAGGAGCAGCTTTATGCACATCCAACATTCCAATGCTCACAACATAAAAGAAACAATTAAGTTGCATCAATTTGGCATCATTACCAGGTAATTATGTTTTACTCCATTTCATACCCCAGACTTCCCAATATATTTGCTTTTCACACCCTCTCCAGTGCAGCACCTTAATTTCTTTGGTTCATTAGGCAAGTTTGATTTTATTCCTGAGTTTTCCTGTTTCTATCAGAGAAACTCTGGAATTTTTCCCCACTTTAGTCAATGATTTGCAGCAAAACACCACTTGACAAGCATATATTTGAAGTCATCCGTTAAACCCAGGAAATACCATACTCAGGCTCATCCAAACGTTTCAGCAATGCCAGGGGAAAAAATTCCAGCTTCATCTGAGTCCTGGTCATCAGGGACCTGCAGCAAGAAGCTGGGAATTCAATTATGGAAGTTCCATCCCTGCCCCTGGATTCTCCAGGTTTGGGATTAAACCCACAGTAACTAACTGAGGTGGTGTGAACTTCCTTTGCCAGCAAATTAAATTTAAAATATTCCCTAGCACTTGCTGAAATCATGATTTTAACCTGGAACATATTAATGTTCCTAAAAATACCCCCTGTATCAAACGAATCATTAATCAAAGGAACTGAAAAATGTGCACTATCCTCAAAATATCCCATTCAGGTATTATAAAAAAAGCTTTAAATTTCACATACAATGTACTTTCCAGTGAATTAAGAGCAGTTCCACCCAAGAACTGCAGAACTAATACACAGTTAATTAATAGTTAATAATTGTTTTGGCCACAGATTTTTGGGTGAGGAGGATAATCCTATGGGTTATTTATACCTACATGGACATTCCAGGAAAATTCAGGTCAAAGGGCCTCTGGAAGGTGCAGAACTCCTGAGAATTACATTTCCATGGGATCACACAACTTTATTTCTACCTCAGGATATCCCAAGATGAGACATTGCTGAACTTGTCATTTTTTGCTGCTCTTTCCAATATTCCCTTCACAAGAAACTCCTCAAGAGGAGCAAATGGTTTGGGAATCCCACACTCTGATAGGAAAAACATCCATTATATTTTTTTGAAGTGTGCAACGTTGTTTTGCTCTTACCAAGCACCAACTTCAAATGATCTGGAGCTGATCCTGGAGTGTGAAGACTCCAAACCTGGTGGTGTTGAAGTGGAACCCTCCAATCATCCAAATAATTTATCTTAGGAAAAACCAGTAGGAAGTTTGGCCAATTACTAATAAATTCAAATGCAACAAAGACCCCAAGAAGATCCTATGAAGGTCACTTAGCAAAAGCAGGAGGGAAAGCCAAAGTCAGCCCAAACACAAACACACTGGAATAACTTGGAACTGCCAAGAACTCCATGGAATATAATGCAAACCAAACTGAATCATGCTAAAACCAGGACTTTAAACAGGACACAAAGTGAAACAATTTCCATAACATGTTATCCTTGAAAGAAGGAAAATCAGTACCCAAGAGACCTTATCAAATATTCAAGAAGGGGAAATATATAATAACCCTGGCTCAGAGAGTAAAATCCCAGATTTTATGCAATATCAATACTGAAACTTAGCAGAGAGGGAAAACCCCAAAATACAGTGTTGATAAAAGCAGTATTTTCAAACAGACCCTACAAAAATACTGCATTTCTTAGGTAAATAAGAGACAAAAGAACTACCCAAAATCTGGTTTTGTTTCAGGGACGCTTCAGTTCAGGTATGAAAATCCCATTAATGACCAAATTCCTCTGTCCTGGTTGCCTCAAAGCCACTCCTCAGCTCAACCTGGTGATTCCAAGGCCATCCCAACGTGCAAGTCCTTGGAGTTTTCCTACTTGGAGTGGGTCTTGGCTGGTTCTTCCCCGGTTATGGCTGGTTTTGGTTTGGTTGGTTCTTCCCTGGTTTTGGCTGGGTTGGTTCTTCCCTGGTTTTGGCTGGTTTTGGTTTGGTTGGTTCTTCCCTGGCTTTGGATAGTTTTGGCTTGGTTGGTTCTTCCCTGGTTTTGGATGGGCTTGGTTTGGTTGGTTCTTCCCTGGTTTTGGATGGTTTTGGTTTGGTTGGTTCTTCCCTGATTTTGGAGGGGTTTGGCTTAGTTGCTTCTTCCCTGGTTTTGGTTTGGTTGGTTCTTCCCTGGCTTTGGATGGTTTTGGCTTGGTTGGTTCTTCCCTGGTTTTGGCTGGTTTTGGTTTGGTTGGTTCTTCCCTGGTTTTGGCTTGGCTGGCTGTTCCCTGGCTTTGGCTGTTTTTTCCTTGTTTTTTCCCCTGGTTTTGGCTTGGCTGGCTGGGATTTCTCTTCCTGTTCCCTTCACCAGGAATGAAATCCTGTTCCTCCCTGTCTGCATTCCCAGCAAACACAGGCAATTAAACATCAGGCTCTGGAATGTCACCGTCTCTGTTAACCAGCCTTAAATAAATTAGGCAACTTTGGCCTGGTTTACCTTCTCTGTAATATTATTTAGTAGATATTCAATTAAAACACATCCTGTAGGTGAAAGTGTAGGAAAACATTTCCATAATGGACATCAGTGGCAGTCGGAAGTGCTGCTAATTAGCCCCAAAGAACAAACCAGATTACAGAAGCA